GAGGTCACTCAGGTACTCTGTAAAGTTCATGAATTCAGATGCCTATGAGAGAGATTATTAACGTTCTCTAAGAAACACATTGCTTTTTATATGCTCTTTATGCTCTGGCTGGGGAGTGAGAAGATATGTGATCAATTTCAGCTGCTCATATACTTGAACATGAGTCAAAAGTTGGTAACTGTCAGCATTGGTTTTGATTATTTTAAAAAAACATAAAATCTTATATGACCATACAAAAAATGTTATGTTTCTGAGTTTACAAACCATGAGCTTTTTTACAAAATTCGAACAACATTCAAATTTGTTTCATATCCACATAATGTGCCATATTACAAAATTATTAAAACATCAAAAATAAACAAAATAAAAACAGTTAAAAAAAAAACAGTAAATTTACTATTGAAGTTATGCTAGTATGGCTAAACAAGCAGTTAGGATGTTTTTCTGTGATGACCATTCTGAATAGGAAAATAGTCGTTATTAGTCACAACACAGAGAGCCCTATTGATGATGATCAGCCAGGTGGAAGATCTAGTGTCCTGTGTGATCTGCTTGTAAGTCAGATTCTCAAACTGAAAACACAAATCCACTCAAATGAATGCCACTCTAAGCACTTCCATTCCCTTTTATTAAGAATCACACATAAGTTTTGTATATGTGATTTATTTAAATGTCATTTTAAATGTGATTATACCTTTTGATCTGAGAAGGTTGGTGACTTCGTTCCTGTATGGCTCATTTTGATCATTGTAGCCTGATTTGCCAATCCAATCTGTAATGGTCTTTACATCATCATCTGTTATACACCTTTGTTTTGAAGCAGAGAAAACCATGTCTTTACCATCTCTGTGCTGTGTTTCTGAAAGCTCTTTTCAAAAATTTCAAGCCTGGTGTTACTCATTGAGTTGTTCTGAAAGTTTTTGAAGTCCTTATTATGATCCAACCAGAATCTTGGCATTGAACCAAGGATTGTCAGCTTGAAGGTGCTCTTTATATCACTATTACTTATGGCTGCAGCCAAGAGGTCTCTGAAGGCTGGTGATTTTGTACTGGGAAATTCATGATGGACTTCTGTTGGCACATAAACAGTTGGAAGTTCCCGACCATGAGAACTGTCTACTTTAGAAATGAGACTTTGATCCAGAGGAGATAAGTTTGTTGCCACTTCAAGCATGGCCTCTGCTAATCTGCTATTCTGGTTCTGTTTATGGGCCTTCAATATACTACTGACTGGTGGCTGGTGATCTGCATTGATGAACTTTCCAACTCCTGGATTCTGAACTGCATATTTATGCCAGTTTTTGTATAACTTTACCAACCTCTCTCTGAAGTATCTTTTTGCATTCATTTATGATTTTTCTTGGTTCACTTTCCTCTTCCACTCCCTTGATGAAAGGCTCCCATTGGCCTGGGTAACCGAGGGGAGCATCAGCCTCCACAGATCAGAGGCAATTTGCTTCCACAGTGATGTCTTCTTCACTGGCTCGTGGTTTCATTCCCTGTGCCAAAGCATCAAACAAGCAGCTCTTTTCCTTGCTTTCTTTGCTCATTGTCTGGTTATCGATGTACACATCTTAATTATCATGAGGATACTGGATACTCTTTGTCTGTAAACTAATGTCACAGATATGTTTTAGCAGGTCGAGTGTCTGGGCTCAACTCTTGCATTTTGGTAAGTCTTCCATTGCTGTCCTCTGTTAGGATGACAACTTTAGTGCCAGTGGCTTCTGACAGGACTCTGATATCAAGGATGGTGCCTGCAGTCGTGGAGTTCTTGAACTTTTCAGCATCCTATTGTGGGCGCTGACCTGCATCTCCTTCAAATTTGTATTTAGAATTCA